TATATATATATATATAAAAATCCAAAAATACACATGATAAGAAAGAACAGTTACATAATTATACATAAAAGATTAATCAAATCTCAACAAATACTGTGAGGACTGTGATCATTTTAAATCTTTAAATTTAATGTCTGCTTTAACTGCTTATTTGTGAGAATTAAACGTATAACTTTTGAGGTTTTAAATTTGATTGGCTGACTCAATGGATGGATGAATGCATACCTGTACAATGATGGTAACATCAGCAGCTGGGGGAATAGACACTTCTCGAAGAGTAGCCACTTTTTCATCTGCAGCAAAGTAAATGTAAGAGTCTACTTTTTACAATGTTACCATTACATAATTGCAAACAGTGCATTTATTAATGGTTAATCAATCGTTCACGTATAATTTATAAAGATATAAGCCAAAACAGCCACCAATGCTGTGGAAAACATGCCAGTAGCTGGACATTTGGTTAGTATAGTTAGTAGGCACCTTGAGGCAACTGTTTTTGTGATTTGACGTTACATAAATAAAATAAAATTGGATTGGATTGAACTTAATTGAATGTTATCAGTGCGTCAGATCTAAAAAGCAGCATATTTAGTATAATCTCTCTCAACACAGAAGTGCTTATTTATGTCTTATGGCCGTCATGAGAAAGCTGGATTTACATATACTATGTTTGAACGCATGGTAGCACACTTCACATGAGTGTCATGAAAAATCAAATTTACAATCCAAGTGAATGGACTTTATAGTTAACTGGAGACATTTGTTGTGTTTAATATTTTCAGGTAACTGCAGATTGTTTAGATATACATTATGTGTAAGTGCTATGTAAAAAAAAAACTATATTAGGCACAAATGTTTTCAAAGCAGATTTCTTAAAATTTGACATGGATTTTAAACACTCACATCTGAACACTTGTTGATTGTTACAGTATTTCATTCATCTCTTAGTAAAATTAACCGTTTAATATATTTGCTAAATACCCAATTGCATGATTCTAGTAATCCTATAATCAGATTTTCGTTCCCTCTTTGGTTCTTTTTAAGAAAAAAAATAATAATAATTTTAGATGTGAGCTCGCGGTCTAATATATGCTAATAACAGTCACCAGCGAAATGCTCCTACCCTTTTGGGGGGTTATTTATAAATACGTTATTGCCTGATAAAGCAAAAAATAATATGTAAATATTTTTTCAAATGGATTTTACTTATATTATCTGGGGGAAAAAAAAGAAAAAGAAAATATGAACACATAATCCTCATTTAGACTTTAACGGGTTAAAGGGGCTGGTTGCCATGGACGCAGACGCACACACTGACATCAGTGAGTAATTTAAAAAAAATCACGGCTGACGAGATGACGAGAAACTCACACAAACTCACGAACCTTTTTTGTCAAGCCGCCTCAGAGCGATCCAAATCTTTGACACCTGAGGTAATTTATCAAAACTGACGATAGACATTTTAGTCAGAGAGCAGAAGCAGCCGCAGCCAGCGAGTATAAAAAATACATTATACATCCGGCAAGAGACCTTCAAAATAAGGCTTGAACTTCAGCCTTAATAAAGTATCATTCTAAATAAATAGAATGGTACTTTATTAAGGATAGCTTTGCAAATAAAAGAAAAACTGCTGTTCTTTAAGTGGTCACCACCCTAAGTTATTCAGAGAATGTAATGTATGGGTGCGGAAAATGCACACAGCTCTTCAATAATAGTATATCCTCTTAAGGAAATATAAACATGGCATTTCATTTTACACATACAGGTGGTTTAATTAAAAAAAAACAAAAAAACCCACACACTCTTTTTGGTTACTTTCAAACACCATATGCTTTATAAGGTCTGAGACGATGAAAAAATATAAATGTGACGTGTCATAATATTTAAGATACCAAAGATTTCAGAAAGAACACTGCTTAAAATGTGTAGCCTATATATGAGAAGTACCAGTAATAATACTAACTGACAACCTACTGATAGACATCAGGAATAATCTTTCAAGTCTGTTTTAGACACAAACAGATGAACTGAACCAGAAGAGAACTTGAAGAACTTGAAACTCAGGATTGTCTCATATTTGTGAGTGTGAAATTACTAGCTGTCTTGAAGAGCACCAGCTTGTCTAGTTTCTTCATTAAACTTTCTAAAAAACTGTCGTTTTGTTTGTTGTGCCAAGCCGACATGTTAGTTGTACAATCCAGAGTCTAAGACAATTTCGTGTGAAAAAGAATCAGCTTGTCCAATGTTAGGAACACGACTGAGTCTTGAGATTTTATATCCATAGCTGGTGCAGGATTGGTTAGTGTTTCGAAAAACCTAAAGGGAAAAACGAAACTGTCTTCTTTGACAATGCACTTGCAACAGATTCCCTGCAATGTGTCATAAGCCTGATTGTTCCGTGTTTAACAGACAGTGTCTGCAATAGTTGATCGGTTAGTACGTCAGACTATTTTTTCTTTCTTTTGGCACCAAGCCACTTCATGTTTGAGGAGAAAATTGAAAGCTGTGAAACAAAACCTACAGGAAACCTAACAGCACAACTGGTTGTTTGTGTTAATTATTTAATTGAGAGAGAGAAAAAAAAATCAGACATTAATTAAGAAAGCCCTTTTAGGACCTTCTTGTGTACATAATTCACCACAAAAAAGGCTTCAATATCATACAAAGACTTCAATTAATATATTCTGGATCTGAAAAGAAACTCAATGGTAAGAGAAAAGACTGTTTAAAGAGATGTTCTTGAGTAGGACAGGGCGATATGGCCTAAAATCCATATCATGGTATAATTTGAAGCATGTGGGGTAACGATATATATCGTGATATATTCTTTTCTTCTGTATAATGTATTTTACACACTATAAGGCACACTTAAAATCCTTTAATTCTCTCAAAAATCAACAGTGTGCCTTATGTATGAATTCTGGTTGTGCTTACTGACCTCGAACCGATTTTATGTAGTACACAGCACACAGAAATCTGTTAAAAATGTTTTAGTATGACTTTGGTAAGCTATGAAGGCACCGCCTGATGGCTTGCCGGAGCATTATGGCTACCGTAGTCAGGAGCCTTGCGGAGTAATCTGGGTTCAAAACTCCGTTTGCTTCAGGTCCCAAAGTCAAAGGAACACTGTGGCATCACTGAGAGTTAAAAACTGTCTGAATTCTTTCATCTTTAATAAAATGATCAGCATTGCTGCTTTACCAGGTGTAACAATTAAGTTTAACATTCAGGCATCCATGAAAACAGATTTATTAAATTCAACGGAGTTAGAAGTTAGCAGGAAATTAGCTCGCTAGTTTCCACCTAAACATGATATGCCATGTTCTGACTAAGAGATTTCTGAAAAAATTAAAACGTACAGCAGTGACTTTTGTAGGGTTACTGAAGTCGGACTAGCTGGTATATAATGATGTCCTACGTGATCGCTAGCAAAACAGCTACGTTAGCATAACATTAGCACAGTGAAGCTGAAGGATGAACGCTAACCTTTTTCCACTTGATAAAAGTTAACGTGAGGGTTTCTGGTGGTTAAGGACAAATGCAATTAATAATAATAATAAATTTTATATATGAGCGCCTTTCAAGTCACCCAAGGACACTTTGCAATAGGATAAAACACATAGTAAAACAAATGCAAAATAAGAAAAATAAAACAAAAGCACAAGATAAAATTAACAAACAGTGGATTCACAATGAATATGCAGATTTGAACAGATGAGTTTTGAGTTGGGATTTAAACTGGGGGAGAGAACCAATGCTTCTTATTTCTGGGGGTAGAGTGTTCCACAGTCTGGGAGCAGAGCAGCTGAAAGCTCTGCTTCCCATAGTGCTGACGTGGAAGGAAGGTACAGCAAGCTAGATAGAAGAAGAAGATTGAAGTGAGCGGGCAGAACAGGTAGTGGGTAACAGGTCAGAAAGGTAAGGAGAAGCGAGGTTATGAATGGCCTTGAAGGTGAGCAGAAGAAGTTTGAATATTATCCAGAATTTCACAGGGAGCCAGTGAAGTTCCTGAGGAACAGGGGTGATGTGCTGGTAGGAGGGGGTTCTGGTGATAATGCGAGCAGCAGAGTTCTGAACCAGTTGAAGTTTATGGAGGGATTTTTGGGGGAGACCATGCAAAAGAGAATTGCATTAGTCAATACGGGAGGTAACAAGACTATGGACAAGAATGGACGTAGACTAGGTGGAAAGAGAAGGAAGTAATTGGTTAATGTTGCGTAGATGGAAGTAGGCAGAATGGATGAGATTATTGATGTGAGATTTATAGGAAAGTGAACTGTCTAGGATGACACCAAGGCTCTTAACCTGAGGAGAAGGGAAAACTGTGGAGTTATCGATGGTGAGTGAGAAAAGATTCACCTTCAAAAGGTTGGATTCAGTTTACTGCACACAAAAGCAAACAGTTTACTTCTCACACAACAAGTTTTAAACATGTACATTTTATGTCTCTATGTCTCATATGAAATACTTACACTTGTATTTAAATTATGTATCTTTGTATTTATTTGATAATATCACAAATTAATTTCCATATACTTCAAATACGTGATGAAATTATCTTTGCACATACACACAAAAGCACACATGTTTTTCCCATTGTTTTCCATGCTGACTTCCTGTTTTCAGTGAACTTCAGACAGTTCAAGGAAACATCCTGGCTCATAAGGCCATGACAAAAAGTGAGGATCACTGTTTTGGCAGTTAAACAAAACATTTTGTTGGAAAACTGATTTTGCCGCCACCATGGTGAGGGGGACGTAACAGTATAGAAACCAGTAGGCTCAGTCTTGGGCGTGGATACATGAGTGTGGAGTGCCAATAACATATTTGAAGTCAGGGAGCACACTGCCCAGATGTTCTAAGTTGGCAGAGATCCGAAAATTACCCTGAAACACATACAGAGGAAAAACTTAAAGTAAAGTAAAATGTAACCCTCAATACATTTATATAACCAAAATACATCCATCACAACTCAGGTTTGACTCCTGCACCCGAACAATGGCAGTTTGACTTCCAACAAGGAAATTCCTCTGAGAATACTTTCATGTTAAACACCACAACTTGCTTTATATACATTCCACTTTGTGGAAGAAGATGAAAGGGGACATATAAACCTCCTGTCAACGTGACTAAAACATGTTCCTCACCTTTTAGTGAATGAAAATTAGTGCTACACTATACATGAGTATACATTTATTAAAATGTGCCTATGACAGTATGACACACAAGCGGTCAGAGACTTTCAGAATAAATGTAATATAAAACAGCTGAGGACAGCCAGTGACCTTTAGAGACCCAACAAAATAATTGGTAATGTTAGTTCCTGTCGATAATGTGCACGGGAAAAAGAAAGAGGAAAATTTTGCTTAATTTAAATGATTCCATCGTTTTTATTCCATAACTTTCCATATTCCCACTCTACTGCCAAACTGGGATTTTACAGTGTTTTACAGTTGGTCTACTCCCCCCTCCCCCGGTTTTATACGCACGGTTCTGTCCTTCCAAAGAAAAGTCAGTGAGTCTGACTTCCCCTAAATGAGTGGTGCATTCTGCAACAGCTTTCACATGAGAAAGACTGTGAGACTCGGACGTAAGCGGCACACTGTGCGAATGGATTTAGGCTGGAGCCGAGCAGACCGCTTTCTATGAAAATACGCGAACTAAATGGTCTCGTAATGGATTCAAACAGGTAACCTGGATAACGTAAATTTGACTTTCTTCACGAATCCGTCAGGTTTGTTAAAAGAAAAGATCTTATTTTCGTTTTTTCTTCCAGACAAGTTTGCAACTGGATCTTTTATACCGTGCTTCTTTTTGGATACATGACTGCGGCCGTACTTCCTGGTATGTGGATTACAGTAAAAAAAAAAAAAATAATAATAATAATAATATTAATACTGTAATTAGATAGTCTGTGTGAGCCCTGTGTGAGCACTCATAATTTACGTATTTGTATAATATGTTTCGTTCAGGAAAGAATCCGACAATTGGCTTCAACCTTGAATGTACGTACGACTTCCAGGTGATGCAGTGTGAGCTGGAGCTGCAAAACTGCACTGAGTACAGCATGACTCTCCAAGACAAGTATGCCCGGCGTGTTTTTAATCGATGATTTTAGTATTACACCGATCAGCCATGGCATTAAAACCAACCGGCTTACTTTCACTGGGTCCTGCATACTAGCTCCTACGTGTCTGGACACGATTTATCTGAGGGTATCTGCCTTGTGTGGGGGTTCCTGGGTCGGCTGTATGTGGACCGGACTTGCATTGGCACACTGAGTGGATTCTCAGTTAGATTGGGATGTTTGGATTTTTGCTCTTCGTTGTGTTCCTCACTCGCTTTCTAGACAGTTCTTGTTGTGTGGAAGTTCTCAGTGGAAATCCCAGCAAACTCAGTATTACTGGTGCTGAGAGGCAAAATGAATGTGCACAGAGTTATATCAAACATAAAAAAAAACTAATATAATAATCTATGGAAGTTAAATGGTTGGTACATTCTTGTGAAGAACAAACATATTGTACTTTTAATACAGTTTTTCCAAATTTGTTTTTGTTTCTTTAGGTTGTTTTTTTTCAGTAAGTGTTAAACAGTTGCAGCTGCTTTTCTGTCTGTTAATCTTCTTTGGGATTCAGGGGAATGTGTCAATAGAAGAGCACTGTTAATTTTATGCCAGAATTTTTGTGCCGTTTAAACAATGACTTTAGTAAACTAGAGTAACACTGCCTCAGTATGTGGGACATGTGTACAAAGGATAAAAATGTGGCGTTGTTGTAGCGGGAGGTTAGCATGATCCAAAGATGATTAGTTGGGTGTAACTGAAATCCAAGGTTAATCATTAACACTGCATTTAATGTGATAGTCATTACTTGTTACTCTCTTCATCTGTCTGTGGTTTCAATGCTGTGGCTGACAGTGTAAATATACTGTGGCATATGAATGTTTAATTAAAGTGTTTTGCATATTATCTTTTGCTCCCCAGTGACAAGAAATGCACTGTACAACAGTGTGGCATTGGGAAGTGTTGTTGCTCCTTCAAACTGATGCGTGTGTTTGGAGAAACTCTCACAGCAAAAGTCTGGAAAGATGGCAACATCATGGAGTCAAAAGCTATCAATGTCACAGAGAGCAGTACGTTGGCTTCTTTCAAATTAATTCCCATAACTCTGCATCTGCCAGAATGACTCTCTGGAGGTGAACAAACATTCACTTTAATGCTCTTTTGTTTCTGTTTCTGAACAGTAAAACCAAAAACTCCAACAATCAAATCAGTCAATGAACTCGAAGGGAATTTTGAAGTCAAGTGGACGTCAAACATGGAGGAATTTATAAACAATGAAATGACTGCTGTGGTGACTTACTATAAAAAAGGAGAAACAGAAAAGGTAGGAACAATGCCACAGTAACTATTTGTTCTGGAGATGTAAACATGGGCAACTGTCAAACTCATTTTTGTTCCTCCATACTAGACATCTGGACCTTTCAAACCAGCCACAGTTGATGGACTAAATTACTATGTAATAAAAGGTCAAGACCTGGATCCAAGTTCAGCATATGTGGTCAGCGTGAAAAGCTTCTTAAGTCTGAGTGGCAAGTTCAGTGACAGTAGCATAGAGTGGGAATTTAAAACTGGTAAGTATTGTCTTTATTCGGTTGTAAAACAGTAAATTGTGTATTTCTTAACTGTGTTAAGAGGCCCTAATTATATTACTATTACACATTCAGCTGAAAAATAATATGAGTTTTAATATTAACTCTCAAACTAACTTTCATGAAAGCCGTTGTCTCCAGAGAAAAGTGGAGTTGAGCTCCTTAGATTGTAACATTACAAGTGAATTTAGAAGTGTATTCAAATATAAAGGATCTGTGAAAATCTCAAAAGCAAAGAGATAAATAGTTTGTATGTATAATATGTACAGTTTTAATTTCTCTTTTTTAATCTCCTGAACAACAAAGCAACAATAAATCAATAAATTATGATGCTATGTCCTGTTTTAGGTAGTATCGATCTGAACATTCATACTGTGTATAGCATAAGATACAGTATGAAGACTTTTTTAAAAATGTATATTTTATCTTTGTAACTTACATTTTGGAGGGTGCATAGAGTACAAACAAATGCAATGGGACACTAAATAACTAAAAACAATCCTTTTGAGGCAATATGAAGAAACTGTTTAGGAATTATATAGCATTAAGTAGTGACACACGATGTCATCAACACAACACATCTAACACAAAATACAAGTCTGTTAGCAGACATATAAGCATATGCTATGCACTTTATCCTACTATATCTCTCTGCTGTATAACATCTGTGTAAACACTGCGATTAGTAAACTTATTTCATACATGTTATTTCACAGGTCCTTCCCGCCACAACCTGATGTTGGTTATCATCATCACCCTCAGCATTGCGGCAGTCATTCTCAGCGTTGCTAAATATGGCTGTTATGCAAAGTGAGTCATGTAGATTAACAAGTTTTTCTTGTGCCTCGGTCAGTGCATATTTCCTCTAAATACTTGAATGGGGTCGTCATTTTTTTCCTACATTTCCTTTTAGGTTGAGAAAAATATATTGCGATGCAGTTCTGAAAACTACAAATCCATCTTCTCTTAATATTAATCCAAGTGAGCAGAAGGTGAGACAGGTGAGGTGAAAAACCTCTAACTTCAATGGTTGCATTCATTTACTTTATTATTAATAATTATTAACAATTTAAAATCTTTTGGTGATTTTCATTAAATCATTATATTGCATCACTTTTTCATCATTTGCCATAATTGGATTTACATTTGGTCTATAAATAGCAGTTTTATCAGGAATGTTATAGTCAAAAGAAAATCTAATGCATCTAGTGGACAACATTTGGCGATTAGAATAGAAATGTATCTGCTTAGCCATCAGCTGATGAAGACTGGCACTAAAAATCAGCTGATCTGCAGGGACTACTGCTGAACTTGAATTTGTGGCCTGTCTTAAGTGACACTATATTTAATTTTTCATTGTTCATGGCATAATCAGCCCAGGAGTCAAACGGCCTTCACAAACGCTAGGACTTAACGGAAATTGTGCACAATGTAATTTGAAAACTACTTGTGCTGAAATCAGAATCCAGCTCTGCATTTTTTAACAATACAACAGGACATGTTTTAACTGCTCTGTAAACAGGCACACCAGTTAGTCCTCTATAAGCAAAGTAGCAGCTTAACAGGTTTTTTCTACGGTAAAATCAGTCACTAAATCCTATTGTCCCAAAAACAGGGCAAACTAAGTCAACCAGAAATGATATCTTAAGGAGTACAAAAGGCACTTTGAGAAACATACTAAAGTTCCAAAAGATTTTCCTCCTTTAACTGAAACGTTTAAGACTGTTCATTCCTTTTGCTTAGGTCTTGAAACTTGAACACTTCAGTACAATCCCCATACATGTTGAGACCCTTATTCAAGATGACAGTGAACTGGGGTTAGTATTGACTGCATTGATGCATCACCATTACAAGACATTTCCTTGAGGATTTATATCTGGCAGTTTCAGTAATTGTTTCTTTGTATTCAGGTCGAAGATGTCACTGACAGACACAAGCTGTGGAAGCCTTCAGCAAAGCAGTGGGGTCAGCACGGGTTCCTCTGATCTCAGTTATACAAATACTGAAAGCCCTGTTGCTGTGAATGGAGAATCTTCTATTGCTAAAGCTGCTAAGAATGAGCTGTGTAAAATATTCCCAAATATTTGCCCAATATTACCAGTGAGCACCAGTCTCCCGACACAGTCAAACAATACACAAGGAAGTGAATTATTCTCTGAAAGGAGTTCTGGAGTATCTGCATTTGAAAATAAAACCTATCCCTTCCTTCTTCCTGGCTGTTTACATCAGACTATGACAGACAACTTAAACACCCAGGGGACGGCTGAAATGCTTTGTGACTCTAATTACCATCCCAGTAACAGTGGCATGGAGAGATGTCCGGATCACCAGATACCAGCTTGTCAAGTTCCTGCACAACTAAGTGGTATTTCACCATCAGTGGTTTCACCTCTTCTATCAACAGACATGTCCTATCAAGAGGTCCCCATATGTGTGCCCATAGGGTCACACAGTTTTCTTGCAGTGGATGACGACTATCAGGAAATTCCAAGTTTGGTGAGGCAGCCTGATGTTTCGCTTTTAGAGCACAGAAATACTGAGCATAAGGAACATTTGGACAAGTCGGAGGAGGAGTCACTTAGAAAGAGCCCTGAAAGCATCTTAAGCCCAGTTGTTCCAGTTCAGGATGGGCAGCGTGTCTCTGAACTCCAAGTACCCACCTGTTTTATATCTACTAACTGCTCTGTACCAATAATCACAGAGAGTGGCTATCAAAGTGTGTAGTGTTGTGACCATAACTTCAGTTTTAGCTCTTTCTAATACATGGATGCATGAAAATGATCTCATGATAACTGTTTCTTATAGAATATGATCCTGCTGTCATTTGGAAATTATTCTATATAGTAAGTCAAAGATTTGCACTGTGAGGACACTTAGGTTCAGCATATTTCATAACAAACAAACATAACAAACATTATTTTATTTATTTAACTTTGATTTCACCAGTTTAGTCCCATTGAGACCAAAGATCTCTTTTACAAGGGAGACCCGACCCTTAAAGGTCTGACTGAATTTAACTTGACCGGTGGATTTGAGGGGTGAGCACAGGAGGTAGAGCAGGTCATCTACTAATGTAAGGTTACTTCAGTCTGCATGCCAATATATCCTTGGGCAAGTTTCTGAATGCATTCACCAGAGGGTAAATCTTAAGGTCTATTTGGACTTCTGCGGTAAATCTACATCATACATGACGGTGGAACTAGAAACTCCATTTATCCCTACACCACAGCCTTCCACACCATTCAGGTCGTTGTGGTACGTGTCGACTGAACAGTGGTTATTTTTCTCAGGAAGTGCACATCAGTTACGTAGAAGGTTGTTGTGTAGGTTTGAAATGGGCTTTCAGTTATGGCGTACGATCTCAAATAAAAACAAACTGTGATATTTAGGGTATAAGTGATGTACATGTTGCCATTAGAATGCTTTTCAATCAAAGTGAATTACCCTGAGCTCTGTTTGTTTCAAAGAACCATTGCTGAAGAATTTTCAGATATTATATGGCTATAATTATAACCGTAATTTATTAAGTGTTTGTTTTCAACAAATGTTTAGGAAAAAAGTTTTATTTTTCATGTTGTTTTATATCCAAAATTCAAGTTATTTTCTTTTGTTTTGTTTTCACTTAATTGTAAATAACACATTTGAAATGAGGCAGCACAGTGGTTCACATTGTTGCCGCACAGTAAAAAGGTCCTGAGTTTAATTCCACGATCAGGCCAGGGTCTTTCTGTGTGGAGTTTGCATGTTCTCCCAATGTTTGTGTGGGTTCTTCCTCCCACAGTCCAAAGACATGCAGTTAGTGGGTTACGTTAATTGGAAACTCGAAATTGCTCATAGGTGTGAATGTGAGTGCGAATGGATGTCTGTCTCTGTGTGCTAGACTGGCGACCCGTCCAGTAGCCCTATGAGAGTTGAGATAGGCTCCATCACCCCCCATGACCCTGAAAAGGATAAGTGGAAGCGAATGGATGGACATTTGAAATGTATTACCTGAATGTATAAATACTGATAAGACCTAAATATGTTAAATTTGTCGTAAATGCTAAAACAAGTGAGCTTTAATCTCTTTGCTTTTCCCGAGTTAAAAAAAATGTTCAAAGTGAATTACTCTGAGATGTGTTTGCTTCAAATAGACATTGCTGAAGACTTTCAATGATCTACAGTATGCTGTACTTTGTACAGTCTGCACAAACAATTTAATATTAAATTCTTCAAGCATCATTGCGTATCATTTGTAACATGGATCCCAATGCAGTGACCCATTTTAGAGATTGGTACTTCAAATCAAATTTGTTAATAAATGAGAGCACAAAACCGATAGCCAAAAAAAAAACAAAAACACACACACACACACACACACACACACACACACACAAAGAATGAAAAACACAATACAGTTGCAGCTACACTGAGTCATACAAATAGTGGTGCATTTATTATAAACTTTTCAGTACTTAGTCAATACTCCTGATAACGTAGCTCTTTTCTGTTCACGTTGTTTAATTCAGATGTTTAATGCTGGCTTCCTTCAGTGTTACTTGGAGGCTGGATGTCTATCAGGGTCCACCTCCATATTGTGGTCTCAGCATGAGCAGACACTGTCGCCTCTGCACTGTGAATTTGCATGAAATCACATGACCAAAACAGGCTCACCTGCAGTGGGTGAGCATGCCAGAAGCCAAAAAACACGCATTAGATATTCATTGTTTCATTTATTTATTTGTTTGTTTGTGTCTGGCCCAGAGTTTTCCCTATTGGTATGGCGTAATATATAGAAAATGTACTAATCATAAACAATAGCATATAATAGTAGATTTAGTAGGGGTTAATTAGTCTCATAACTGAGTCATAAATCACTTACAAGTTGATCACAAGTCAGAATAACTTTGGTTACTGTTACATGCTGAAGGAAGACAAGTTTCATCCAGGTGCAAATTGAGGTTTATTGCTCTGAAACACAGCAAAACAGCAGTTCTTTGTTACTGATGGCTTCCATTACCAAAACTGGCCTGCGTTACTTTTGTAAGGGATTACTTTGCCAGTCACTCATTTGTCTGAGTCGCTACTGCCACCTACTGGCGAAACTCAGTATCGCCTTAGCGGCACCGGCACAAAAACAGAAAATTGAGGTGGGCTGGGGGCAAGATCAGTATTACAGTATTACACTGAGAACACTGACTTCATTGTAATACGTTTATAAAAAGATATCTTTTTTTTTTTTTACATCAAAGTGTTGAGTATATGCAGAGTTTGATGGCTGTAAAGGCTCTTGCCTCAGGTGGTTAAAAGTTGTGTCTTAATAACGAGTAAACAGGAGTCTATGACTCAATTCAAATCAAGTACACATAAGGACTTTGAACTAGAGTCAATTTTGATTTCATAATTAACTTTTTACAATGAAAAATATTTATATTATTCGAGATTGCCAAGTGAAATTTTGAGCATTGATGTCATAGAAAATCCAGATTACACTTTTTTAGGATTTTTCAAAATTTAGGAGGGATGTTAGATATTTACATTGGAATAACTATCATTCTAAATACATTATTTATTCCATTGTCTTTTTAAATTAATCATTGTATATTTGCTGATGAGCTGATTGCCAATAATTGTTCAGAACAGGTCAACCTCCAGCCTCACACAGCACAGAGGAAAATGCACTCACCTGCATGCTTCACAGTGGAAACTATGCATGTAGAGACCTCGGTTCACCTTCTCTGTGTCATGCGAAGGCTAGGCGGGTGGATTCATCAGACCAAAGCACAGATTTTCATTAGTCTAATATCCATTCCTTGCGTTTCTTGGCTCAAACCAATCTCTTCTGCTTGTTGCTTTTTCTTAGTAGTCCCTAGTAATCTTTAGTAGTCCCTAGTAATCTTTAGTAGTCCCTAGAAATCTGTTAATTTTGGGAACGATTTCTGAGGCTGGTGACCTTCATGGTTTATCCTCAGCAGCAGAGGTGACTCTTGCTCTTCCTTTCCTGGGGCGGTCCTCGTGTGAGTCAATATTGCCATTTGTTGGTTTTGCAACTGCATTTGGGGACGCATTCAAAGTGTTAGCAGTTTTCTGGACTGACTGACCTCCAGTTCTTCAAATAATGATGGACTGTCATTTGTCTTTACTTAGCTGGTTGGTTCTTGTCATAATATGAATCCTAACAGTTGTCAAATAGGGCTGTCAGCTGTGTTACCAACCTGACTTCTGCATAGCACAACTGATGGCCCCAACCCCATTAAAAAGCAAGAAATTGCACCAATGACAAGCCGCACCTGTAGAGCGAAAATCATTTTAGGTGACTACATCATGAATCTCACTGAGAGAAGGCCAAGGGTTTGCAGCACTGCCAACAAAGTAAAAGGTTTTATGTATGTATGTATCTACAATGTAGAAAGTAAAAAAAAAAACCATCAAATGAGAAGGTGTGTCCAAACTTCTGACTGGTATATTCTTTATATATATTACAGCACCGGATCCCCGCAAGGCTGCGTTCCCAGCCCCCTACTGTACAACCCTGTACACATATGACTGTACATCAACCCACCCAACTAATGTCATCGTCAAGTATGCTGATGATGGAGATGAAACAGCGTACGACATGCAGATAGAGGACGTGTCCCACTTGTTTAGAAAATAATCTGAATCTGAATGTCAGTGACCCTTTGAACCACCTGTTTGACCCGCTACCCTCTGGCCGATGCCTCAGGTAGATCAGGTCCCACACTTCCCGGCTCACAAACAGCTTCTTCCCTGCATCATTCAGACTATCAAAAAACTATCACAAAATGCTAATTCTATTATTAACTACTTCTGATAATAATACAACTAAAAGAACTTATTAAAAAAAGATAAATTAAGTTTTCCAATAAAATTATGTTAAGAAATTTTTAAAATGTTAACTTACATGTTTTGTTTTGCATTAATAAATATTTCAAAAGAAAGAATTGTATGGAGTTGTGGTTTTAAGAGCCAGTGCATGGGTATGTTGTACTTTCAAGCTTATCATTTACTTTAACCAATGTTGTTTTTTCTTTCTGGCCGTTGGGCATAGCAGGAAAATAACATCAACCTCAATGCAGTTGAGTTACATGTCAGCCGTTTTGTGCTGTAATACAGTAACAGTGATATCAGTAAAGTTTTACTGATTGTATGTGTGTGAAAGAAAACCAACAGAACAAATCACAAACCAAAACTGAGCTCCTTTAAATTCCCCTCCTGACTTTGTGGGACCTTTTTTTTTTTTATATTTTTCAGACTACACTTTAAAAACGGTAACGGAACACATTCACAGTGTAACAACAGATAATATAATATATGAAAAGGGGAGACAATAACTGAATCTTTTTCTCTTTTTTGTACAGCAGCAACAACAGCCTGGCATGATTATGCCACATGAACAAGAGCTACAACTCTTGCAACACTTCCTTTCTCAACATTTACCAACTATCTAAATTGTGAGTGGAAGTTTACAACATGTCTTCTCGCCACTTTTTATGCTGTATATGCTGTATATCTCTGCTGCAAGATACAACAAGATATCGCGGCCTTATTGTTTTATGCATAAAGTATGCCAATAAAAAAAACTACTCACTGGATATAAGTGTTTTGGGGACGAAATTTGAGCAGCAAGGCTGAGATGGTTTAGGCATGTGTAGGGTGCGATAGTGAGAGGAGGGATATATTGGACAAAGAATGTGTAATATGGAGACGAAAAGTGAGAGACAACAAAGAAAATCACAGGATGCAGTAAATAAGGACATGCAGAAGGCCAGTGTAAGCAAAGAGTATTCAAGTGACAGCAGGAGAGCCATTGTGCCCCCTTCAGGAGGCACCCAAGAGAAGAATATTAAATGTCAATGATGGGTTTCT